TCTGTTACCTGTATATCAGTTTAAATTCACGTTTTAAGTTAAACCATAAAAAGTTTCCTCTGTAAATGAGGCCTATAATAACTGCAAAATGTCAGGGAGTAAACTTGTTTTCATTTTCTTTTATTAGGCTCAGCTTTAAATGATATAAAGGCTTTGATAATGTACTCAAGAGATGTTTGCTGTAGATGGCTGGACAAATTTTGAAAAAAGGAAAAAACAGCGCACAAGTATTCAAAATTTCAGTTAAATAACTACAGCCTGCTACTGGCCAGTATTTTGATACTTGTGTAAATTCTGCAACTAAAAGTCAAAAATCTGGTTGGGTTTTGAAGGTTTTTAGGTTAATCTTAACTTTTGAGACCAGATTTGTGGCCTTCGATAGGATAATTTCAAAATGAAAACTGTTTCAGAAAGGAGAAATGGTAAAGGATTTAAGAAGGCCAATGAAAATATTTAAAGGCATAGAAAGACTTCCTTGAGAAAAGTAACATGATAAAAAGTACATAAAGCAATGAATAATGGATACAAGGTTATTTGGGCTTTCTTTCTTGTGCCTATAACAATGAAGTATAGAAAATTAACTATTTTAAAACTGGTAAGGCAGTACATTTTTACACAAAGCACAATTGACCTGTAAAATTTACTGCCATGTAATGATGTTACGAAGGCCAAAGGTTTAGCGCACGCACGGACACACATAGGAGAAGAAGGATAAGAACTCTAACAAAAAGTATATTCATGAATGGGAAGCGACTGTCTAGGAAGGAGTACAGCAGAAAGGGATCTAGGGGTGATAGAAGACCACAAGCTGAATATAAGTCAGCAGTGTGATGCTGTTGCAAAAAAAGCAAGCATGATTCTGAGATGCATTAACAGGTGTGTTGTGAGCAAGACATGAGAAGTCATTCTTCCGCTCTACTCTGTGCTAGTTAGGCCTCAGTTGGAGTATTGTGTCCAGTTCTGGGTACCTCATTTCAAGAAAGATGTGGAGAAATTGGAGAGGGTCCAGAGAAGAGCAACGAGAATGATTAAAGGTCTAGAGAACGTGACCTATGAGGGAAGGCTGAAGGAATTGGGTTTGTTTAGTTTAGAAAAGAGAAGATTGAGGGGGGACATGATAGCCGTTTTCAGGTATCTAAAAGGGTGTCCTAAGGAGGAGGGAGAAACGTGTTCATCTTGGCCTCTGAGGATAGAACGAGAAGTAATGGGCTTAAACTGCAGCAAGGGAGGTTTTGGTTGGACATTAGGAAAAAGTTCCTAACTGTCAGGGTAGCCAAAAACAGGAATAAATTGCCCAGGGAGGTTGTGGAATCTCCATCTCTGGAGATATTTTAAGAGTGGGTTAGATAAATGTCTATTAGGGATGGTCTAGACAGTATTTGGCCCTGCCATGAGGACAGGGGACTGGACTCGATGACTCCTTGAGGTCCCTTCCAGTCCTAGTATTCTATGATTCTATGACAGTTTTCCTCAAGAGGATGTAATTAGTAAACTATAAAATTGTCGTGAATGGGAGTTTTATCTCTGTGTCCTGAAGCAGCTGATACTGGTCAATATGGTAGAATACAAGACAAACTTGTATAATACTTGTATTCAAGGATTTGAATATCCACACTTAATTAGCAACAAGTCAAAGGAGGTTGTCAAAAGCACGCAAAAATCTAAGGTTTTATATATTTAAGAAAAAAAACACTTCTCTGCTCACTCACTCTCCTTTTAAGAAAAGGATTGCAATCATCCTAACACGTTTTCCTGATAATGGGTAGGACTGGTACAGAAATATTTGTGTATGCTACTGCCTCCATCATAATGGGACTTGTCTTTAGTTGACGTGGTAAGGAATCATAGGTCCCATGTTCAGTCCCTGTAGACTAAATGACACTTGTCAAAATAAATGAACAAGGTACATTTTGTGCTGATTTATTGTTTTGTTTGTTCTCTTGTTAATTCACAGATTCAAGAAATCACAATGACTTCCCTGTCATTAGGTCACAATGAAGTTTAGATGTGTATCTAAATGTAACTAGCTACTGTCACCTAGAACTAGTAATAACTTTCCATTAATGTATCACTTTACTGAGCTACAGTATGACATATAAATTAGTAAATGTATGAGTCTGGAGGTTCTACTTCACTTAGAAGGTTTTGTGAGTTTCTGTCCTACCCTTAATATTATGTGTAATGTTTATGATTTTATTTCCTTTCTTAGTGACAACATTAGAAAATCAAATCAAAGTGTATTGGTAGTTGAATGTTAATATATCCATGTTAATGTGTATTTATGATTGTTTTAAATACTGGAGGGCCTTTCTGATGTACCAGTTTGACAGCTTTGAACTTTTGCAGGTCAACTGCCTAGGACAACCATCAATGAGGAGAGGCTCAGTTCAGTGTTATAGATAAAAGTAGATAAAGTCATAGTATTTAAAGCCAGATTATCCAATCTGACCTCTTGTATATCACATGCTACTAACATTACCCAGCTTTATGAAATTAATAAGTTGCCCCTGATTTCAAACACTCCTTGCAGTTTTGGAAAAGGAGGGAAATCAACAGTAGCCCTCTATTACTAGTTTTCTCCCTTTTTCTGTATTTGTAATAATGACTGTCCTACCAGAGCACCAGTGACAGAGGGGTAGCCGTGTTAGTTTGTAACTAAAAAAAACTTTAAAAAAAAACCCAATGAATGGTACTGTAGTACCTTAGAGACTGACAAAAATTATAGATAGTATAATGAGCTTTCGTGGGCCCAACCCACTTCTTCTGATGAATGGAGCAAGAGGTACAGACATGAATTTTATAGGCTTGCACAGGAACCAACCCCTGATACCAGATGGAATGCTTGTGCCATTTATATCAATTTATAATATGAAATACCAAAGTACAGTTGAAATTCTGTTGAAATCAGTATGGTCCATACAATAAAAATGATATATACTCCATTATATGGCACTATAATTTTAAAAAGTCCAATACGTAAACTGTATAGGGTTGCTCAAGAATTTTTCAACAAAAGATCCACATCCCATTTTCCTTCACTTCCATGAGTGTGCACAATGATTTTGTGGCTTTTGAGTTTCCTCTTTATGTTGAAAAAGATACATTCTTGAATTATGACACAAATATTGTGAAACTAACAACTATTTGGGCCTGATCTGGCTACTCTCAAGCAATAAATTCCATTAATTTGTGCCCTAATGCAGCCTGATACTTAACTATGTTCCCATATTTAAGTATGTGAGTAGCCCATTTAATTCCTTTTCTTGGGAGTTTTAAGGCTGTTCACATGCATATAGGAGGCATTTACTTAAACCTCCAACTTAGCAAGGTACTTATATTGGCTTCAACTTTGGAGTTACAAAAGTTAAGGCTCTGTTTCTTTAATTTATATACTTACACATGCACAAACGTAATCAGAAAAAAAAGTTGTTATAGTAAGCTTCACCTGCACATAATTTACATTTTGAAAAGTTCGTTCTTTTAATATGATGAAAGCAGAATTACCTGCCAAAAATGCATACAGGAATATATAAATGTAGACTTAGATGTAGCACATGAAAATATATTGTGCAAGTAATGAAGGTGAAATGAAGACAAAAGTTAGAAGAAAGGAGGAAAAGCAAAGTGTAAGGGCAACGAATAGGTGCATTAACATTTCAGTTGTGTCAATGCAAATTTAAACAGACCCAATTATAAAACTTGGAATGTGTATTTGTTATGGTAATACAGTGAAACCCTTGAATTCTAAGATACTTTAGTCTCTACTGTGATATGTACATACTGTTTGTAACCAGCCTTTAGTGTGTATTATAGTTAATATGGAAGAAACAGCTCTAGCTAAGTTTTAATTCTGCTTTCCTCCATTGCTTTTCACAATTTGAGTAGATACTTTCCTTCTTTTGTGTCATCCAAAGCTGTGTATCTTCTTTTTTATGTTTAAGAAAAATACTACGTAATCTTTTGTTATGGAAAACGTGAGAGAAATATTTTTTCCCCAAAACTATTTGTTTTCTCTCTCTAAGAACTTAAAAATTATTCCACAAAGAAACAAGATCAAAACTTTCCATGTGGCTGGGGCTATGAGAGAAATAGTCTCTTTGTTAAATTTGGGGTTTTCAGATTTAAAACATCAAACTACAGTGGAATGGAAAAAACACCGTTTAAAAACAACTTCATATTTTCCAGGCTCAGCTGTAGAGTTACCCACACTATTGCTAGCTCTGCTGTAAATGAAACACATAGCAGAATCCTCCAAAAATAGCCCTAAGGGAATCATGGGAAAATAATGTGCGTATATTGTGGGCTTGATTCTTATTTATACAGTGCTCCTTACACAGCCAGAGGGGTAAGATTCAGACCCTATGAATTTAGGATATAATATGGACAAATTTAAAAGTTCATTTAAAAAAAATTAGACATTTCACTGTAAACATACTGCTATCCAAATCTGAGAGTGTGGCCTTGTTAAACTAGCTTTATAGAAAACTGTCTCCATCACAACTGTAGCTGACACAAATTTGCCCCATGCATGTAAGAAAAGTGTGAACTTCAAAGCCTAAATGGGTTATTTAAATGCTAATGTTAAACACATGCAGTTTTCTACTCTGTTTGTTGTTTTAAACAAGGAAGTTAAATGCAAAAATCTTATTCAATTCAACATTAAGTGTAACTATGTTAATTTTCTAAAATTTATGTTTAAGTTAAGGTTCCCATACTAACAGTAACTCATCTACTTTGCAATTATATTATGTAATAATTTTAAAGTAAACAGTCTTAACTAGTTATTAAACGTACTGTGTGCAGTGTAGGTAAATTACTTTGATTACCAAGTGAGGTCCTGATCTTACACATACTTCTGGGCATAGTACTGTGACTAGTTCCATTGAACTTTTTCCATTCCAGATTTGTTTAAATTTATAACTGTACCTTTCTGCTAACCTGCTGTTTGCATTTAATAATAATAACTGATAATAATGCAAATCATATTATTTCTGTTTTAGGATCAGTGGATTTGAAGATATATATAATACCACCATTATTTTTTCTTTGATTTAGTGGATATGGGTTCATGGGTAATAGCCAGAATTTTATATGTATATTAATGTCATGAGGTTTATAATCTGTAGATGAAATGGTTATTTTTATTTGTTAAAATGCAGAACAAACAGAATTGATTATGGAATAGGAAATTGTGAAATATCATAATGACTGTTCTCATCTGTTAAGGGTGCAAATGTTATAGATTTTGTGCTTCTTATATGAACTTTAACACTGTCAGAAGACAGGATACTTTTAATGGGCTAGATGGACCATTGGTCATTCCTGGTATGGCTATTCTTATATGCAGTTGCTCACCTGAATGGCTAACCTAATTATCTGTTTTCAAATTTCAAGTTACAAGAGATATAACTTCAAAGTGAATCAGAGCTATGTTTATCCCTCTTATATGTCAGAGTTTAAGTGCAATGTTTTATGTATACACTCATCATGACAGTTGAAAAGGCTATAAAGAAAAGCAATTATATAATTGCTTTAAAGAATTAAGTTTTAGGGATAAAAGCTTTTAGAAACTACAGAGTAGTTTTAATAATTATATCACCTAAAGTTAAGCTGCAAAATTGTGTCCTAATTATTTGTGATGAGTAATTAACTACAAAGTTATAAGCTTTGAAAGATTTTCAGAAATAATTTTCTTTGATTTTTTCCGCACACACAAACAACGCCCCATCATTTTCTATTTTAGCAGTTTCCACAACTTAAATATTAAATTCTTATTGTTTGCTTTCTGTTGTATTAGTAGTGTGTGTTTTGCAATTCTAATCTTCACATTTTTCTTTCTTTATCACTGAAGTAGGCCTTTTGAAGCCGGGGAATTTTTCATAGCAATATTGACAGTGTTCACATTTGCATGATGACAGCCAAGGAATGGAGCAGTAATTTTTGAAATTGCAGAAGTATTTAGAACACTGATAAAAGCTGAAATATATTTTTGATGGATTGAAGTTAAGCATACATGATTTTTCCTGCTGTCAAAAGGCTCTGAATTTAGTGAATATTTGCCTGCTGTGAGAATGCAAGATTAACATCACAACCATCACCCGGGCACCCAAACCCTGCAATTTAATAGCTTTTTAGGTTCTTTCCTTTTTCTAAACAGCAATTAATCTCATTTTAGTACAATTTTCTCGTTTCTGAAGTCGCTCATTGAATCGCTGTTTTGTTCATATTTGGCTTCAGCTCCTCTGCATAGTCATTAAAGTCCCAATTAATGTCACCTTTAGCTGAAGAGTACTCATTTTTATTGAGAAAATGACAGTTGCTGCCATGAGTAGTGCCGTGTAATATACATTAATTGCCCTGTAACACTGGTAATTACGAGTTTTTCAAGCCTCTCAGTAAACTGTCATGCCTAGACAAGACTGTGCTAAAATAGATTACTCATTAGGGAGACCTGTCCTGTTTTCTGGTGGGTTCTTAGTGTTCATTTAAAAAAAAATCTTGAGTTTGAACAAATAGTTGCCAAAAGCAATTTCCTACAACAACATCCTTGTGTTGGGTTTTTCAACCATCACTTAAGTCTGCGGTCAGCAAAGAGACAGGGTGCAGTGGACTCTAGAGATGTCGAGATTTTTAACATTTATGTATCTAGATCACAAGAATAAGCTTAACAGGTCTTAATACAGTATTGAATGTAAATCTAATTAAAGAAGCATTTCTCTTTTTTTGGTATTGTGTTATAACAGAGCTGCATTACGTTTTGCTGATATTTTATGTCTGAAATATTTTATCCTGAAAATACTTTACCACATAGTATTATTGAGTGTCCAGTAAATTGAAATTATGTCCATAATCAAATCATTCAGAACTGAGAAATAGCAGGGTCTGTTTAACATATTTTAGAGATCGTGTAACATTAAAATATGTATATTTTAAAAAATCTAGAATCAATTGGTGAAGAGAATTATATTAATACTGTGTGTGAAATAGCTGGTTCTGAAAATCAGGCTTTAATATATATCCTTTGTTTTATCTTTGTTATAACACCTCCTCTAGGCAATCTGTAGTCTTTTTCTTTCTAAATGAATTTTGTCACTGCCTTTCATATTCTCTTGTGGTGATGAGCTAATGAAAGTAGATAGTACAATTTGTGCTGACCAGGTAGCAACTGCCAGCTTGCAGCTGAGCATAGTTTAAATAAATAAATAAAATATAGCATTATATCACTGATTTATCCATTACATGACATTAATAGTGAGAAACCTTTGTGTGTTTATCTGTTTGTATTGGTGTGCATTTATCGAATTGTTTATGACAAGACTAATTGGAGTAATTGTAGACACTGAAATTACCTGTCAGCTATATGTAACCACACTCCCTTTCTTTCTGACAAATGATGACAACTGAGGGACCCCATAGCATTACTCATGATGGCTTTTCGAGTGGTAATAAGGACAATAGGGGCCCTGGCTAATTTGACATGGACAGCCTTCACAACAAGAAGCCAGCTAAATGACTTGTCAGTAGGGGAAAGAAGTCGGAAAAGTAATGGAGTCCCCCATGGCGCTCTGACAGGGAGATGAGGCAATTTCAACAGAAAGTGAAAAGGCTTCAGTTTGTCAAGTATTTAGAACAATCAGGGAACAGCTAGAGGCTGGAACCTGACAATAAATTTGTGAACCATGGTAGCAGTTTCATATAGGTCAGTTATTTCATAATGGCTGTGAAGCTTTCATAGGTCTCTGCTTTCGTAGTATACTTCACATCCACCAACTGGTGCTTTGTCACCTTAAATTTGTGCTTCCCTTTACACAGTAGGAGTAATGGTTAAGGTTACAGAGGAACAGAAATGTAAGACAGCGTGATTTTCAGATACCAGTCTGTTGAAAAATAAACAAAAATTTAGATAGTAATACTATGATTGCATCCATTACAAGCTAGTGGTGTTAACACATTCTCTGATAGTGGCTAGCCGCATTTTATGGACAAGAAGCAAGTAATTTATTTCTCACCAACAAAACTAAAAAAATTCAACCTTTTATTTTTTCATTCTTCTGTATATAGTTAAAATTTCTTAAGGTTCATTTCCATCTGTTTGCTCTCGAAACATATTCCAGTTCTGTAGTTATGATCTCTGTTGAGAAAGTGTAACTGATGACATAGAAAAAGACTTGTGATTTTGTTGTATAATCTACAGAAAGTGATTTATTTGAGGATTTCAAATTAAAAAAACTCATGATTTAAATATTGGTTCTTAAAGTAGAGTCCTTCACTGATCATGTGGGTTTTTTTTCTGTGGCTTCAGAAGCCTCTTACTTTTTATAACCGTGGTGTTGACCTTTTTATATCCATTGAAGAAAATAAAGTTAAGACAAGATTAAAGCGTCACGTTTGTGCTGTGTCTTTTGAATTCTTGACTTACGATCCAATCTTGCTTAAAAGTGTTTGTTTTTTTCATGGATATAGTGAGAAGCATCAACTTTTTCTTTCTGAAGTGATCATAGTGCTATAAAAGAGTACATAGTAGTTTACATTTTTACTTTTGACAACTTTTTTTCCTTCATTTTTGCTAAAGACTTCCCCACCTATGCACCCATTTTAAGCATTTGAAAACTAGTGCAACGACTGTTTATTCAGGAGCTCTGGATCCTAATTCTTACAATAAGTACTTCAAGATGTGTCTCTCTTCTCATGAGTAACATATCGTTTGACCTGGTCTTACTAAAATTAGCTGTATAGGCTTTCTGTTTTCTCCACCTTTCCCCTCCGATCATCTTGCCCTTTCTTGAGCCAAATAGTCCTTTTTTTATGAGTCTCATTATTAAATTGTGAAGGATTTTTAATTTAGGCACCAGAAAATTTGGCCTTTTATTCCCAATACCAGAGCATTTAAAAAAAATAATTCTTCTGTTTTGGTAATTGTATCAAGGAATATCTTTGATAAATTAAAGGCGTCTGTCATCCCTTCAATATGGGTGGTTGAAACACACACAAATGCTCGTGTTCTCACAAAACCAACTCTCTCAGGTGATCATTTAAACATATGTTAATATGTGAAACTCCTTAAATATACTTGCTTTCCTTCATATGTTCTCCAAAGTTTACCAAATAGTCTTTCTTCCTAATTATTTTCTTGTTGTCATTCCAGAAGAGCTAATAAAATTACCCAGGATATGCACTCAGGTGGCAGGAAATATTATTTCATGGATAATTTTATTATTTTATTTCAGAATGCTCGCGATGAGTGTAAGTAAATGGGCTACCATGAAAATAATAGGCTACCCACCGCAGAAGACAAAGAAGTGGAAAGGTTCTACCAAGTTCTTCATAGGATTCGTCAGACTAAAACAGCATTTATGGTAGTGTTTGGCGACTTCAGTGCTAACGTGGGTATAGGAGAAGATTGAGAAAACTACATTAAACAATATAGTTTAGATATGAGAAATGAAAGAGTCCAAAGGCTGGTCAACTATTCAGAAGCCGCTCGTCTGTATATCATGAACACCACATTCTAGGTTGATGGACTTGGCGAGTGCTAAATAATGAAATAAGAAATGAAATCGATTATGTCCTGGTGGACAAGAGGTGACTGGTTAAAGATGTAACAGTCCTTTCAGAATCGGCCATCTGTATACATTGACTGTAGAGCAAGAGTCAAAATAAACATTAAACGGAAAGAAATAATAAAGGCAAGAGTTAGGCATGGCATGCAGGTACAACAGTCCATCTCAGATCTGTTTAAGTATACTATCAACTTTGAGCTGTGCGAAATGGACAAAACCGAAGATATTGATTCCAATTACTACAGCTTTTTAGCAAAGTTAAATAAATGTAAAACTGCTGCCACTGTGAAGAAGCCAAAGTAATCCAAAAGCCGCCTTACCCAGCAAATGCTTGATCTTCTTGCCTAACGGAAAGACATGGCAGCCAAGGACGATACCAGCCTGGAGTATAAGCTTGTCTGTAAAACGTTGAAAAGAAAGATGATAGAAGATTATGAGCAGTATCGCCTTGCAAAACAGCAAAAAGGCAGTTGAGGATAAAATAAGTTTGCAAAGAACTCAGCATGACATCCAGCTAAGCCAAACTCCTTTAAGCATGTTTGTTGATTAAAACAGTAGAAGAATGACACACAGACATGAAAAAGAACAAATCTGCTGGCGCTTTTATAGCGAATTATTTTCATTAGCAATAGCAGTACCTGGGATCCATCATTCCCAAAGCTGATGTGCTCCACAAAGAAGTTACATCAGCCCTTCAGAAAATGAAGTTGGGAAGAGTAGTAGGTTTAGACCAAGTACACGTAGAAGAACTGTGTGCGGGAGGTGATACACTTTTAAAAATACTTAATGAGAGATCCTCAAGATAAGTTCCTAGAGAGGAAACTCCCAAAAGCTTGGAATATTTCTCAAACTGATCTTCAGCTAAAAAAAGACAATCAAGAAGTCATTCACAGCTATTGACCAATCTGCCTGCTTTCTCATCTTTATAAGGTCTTAATGAGAGTGATCTATGCCCACATTGAGTGTGTCCTTGAGCAAAATCTGAGAATGGAACTGGCAGGCTTTCATAGGGGATTCTCCACAGTGGACTGTATTTTTGTGGTCACATAGATGACCGAAAGGTGTTGTGAGTGGAAGATGCCAGTCTGTTTGTTGTTCATGGACTTGAAAAAAGCCTTTGACTCAGTGGAACAAAATTCAGCTCTAAGAGCTCTCCTTTCACAGGGTGTCTCCCCTATGTATTTTAGAATCATACAAGATTCTGCAACTACAGAAATGATGACCTCTTGATCATCGGAGTTAAGCGAGGCATAAAAGTAAGGGGATGTTTGTTCACCGAAGTTGTTTGCCAGCATCCTGGAAGACATCCTGCAGAATATTGAAGTGAAAGATGGATTTCTGATTTATGGCAAGGTTCTTCAGATGCTCCTTTTTGCAGATGACATCATCCTAATTGCATCAAAACCTGAAACGTTGCAAACCCTCATCAATGACATCGGTAAGAATGCGAAGGAGATTGGCCTGATCATCCACACTAAAAAAATGAAGTGACTGAAAAATGCATATTTTTCAGAGTACTCTATGCAGCTGGATGGACAGACCATTAAGCTGGTGGATCACTATATATATCTTGGACAAGCATTGCAGATGGACAATGAGTTGGACCCAGAGTTGAGCAGGAGGAGGAGATCAGACTAGATTCCCGTTGGGAGTCTCCACAGTGTTTTTGTTGATACCACACTTTCCACCACTGTAAAAGCCCATCTCTTTAACACAGGTATCCTTCCAGTAATGCTGTATGGCTGCAAAACCTTGAACATAATACTTACAGAAGAATTAAAGCTCCAAACAACCCAAAGAGCAATGGAAAGATACAGTGGGTGTGAGTAGGTTACAACATGTTAATATTGACCATTTGTGCGCAAGAAGCGGTGTTAACTATATCATACAAGTTATGTACTCGGAAAAAGAGATGGCCTGGCCATGTAGCAACGATGAGCAGCATGTATAATCCATTGGAATCTATGAAATGTAAAAAGATAGACAATCGCAAAATGACAAAACTAAACCAAGAGAAATTAAAACAAGATACACATTAACATGGTTAGGATAACGTGAAAAGATTTATCTGAAATATAGTCTTGCTATATGTTATATTGTTAATAGGATTTTTTAAAATTATGATTCAAAACTAAATTGAACAATTATTTATAAAGTATCGCTGTCAAAATAATTTATTGTTGAGCACAGTACCACTGATACATATTGGCCTCATTGCAAGGCTATATATTGAATTCCTGTTATGAGATATATTTGTCCAATACTTTTAGATTTATTAATTTCTAACTGTCTTACATTAGATCTGATGAGAGATGTTATGGTGTGCTTTTATTAAATTGGAAATATTATAGCTTTGAGGAACTAGTATTTTTCTTTTTTAAAAAAAGCTGGTTTTCTAGCATTGGATTGCCACCAGTTTTGTCATCTCCTCAAATTCTATTTGAAAAACTAAATACAGTGTAAAATTAACCAAACTCTAAAGTAATTTCAGAAAGATGTTTTAACATTAGCCGAAGTAAACTATGTGAATTCTATGATCTGTAATAGTTGAGTATTTCCATTCAACACTGTTAAACGCCTTTTCTGAATCAAGTGAAAAGCAGTAATGGGGGTTTCCATTTTGATTGCTTTTATATGTTATCCATAGGTATTCTTTTACAATGAATTAACATTAAGTAACTAACATTAAGTAAGTTTTCACAAGACATGGGAATGTGGTAGTCACAATGCGGAGCCTAATTTAGAGCCTTCAAATTATTCTGCAACCTCTTTCAACTTTTGGGATCAGGCCATGAGTTTAGTGTACAATTCTGGAAGTGCAACAGGGATGTCTTTACCAGGTGGTATGCTTTGAGGAACAATTTTCCAGAAAAAATCCTTGCCTTTGGCTTCATTTGGAGTTTTAAATATTAGCTTTAGAAATTTGTTTGGTAGGAATTTTTGGTGTACATACCACTAAGTATAAACCATAACAAAGGTTAGCAACAGCTGGAAACCTAGGAAATAAGAAGGAAGTACATCAACTACAGTGGGGATAGAATAATTTGTACCAGTGTATTCTCTACTGCTGCCAACTATAATACTGGGGAAAAAGCCATTTGTTTTCTTAATAATTCCCTTTCCATAATTATTTAATATAGATTAATTTCCTGCCAGTGAAAGGTGCTGGATAAAGCTAATTAGGAATTTTTTGGCAGAATAATTTTTTGAAAAAAAAAATACAGTGTCTGCAAGATTGGAACTTTTCACAGGAAAATGTTTGCATTTTACTGAAAATTTTCTAATTTTCATTCAGAGCATCAAAATGAAGAATTAATTTTGGTGGCTGATACTCATATTTTTAAGAAAAAAGGACTATTCAGAAGGGGGACTTCTTTTGGATAGGTTTGACCAATATCTAAATATATTTTTAAAAATGATACAAAATGTTTCCTTTTGAATCAGTTTGACAAAACAATTAGTTCTGTACATGAACAAACACATATTTACACAGAAACAGACATTAAAGAGGGATGTACCTTTTAGTTTGTGTTGGCAGTTACTTTTAATGCTAAATTAAAGATGTTCTAATAGTTTTCAGTGAGTGAAGATTACCATAGCTATTAAGCGATTTGAGATTTATCATTAAATTTAAATTCCTAACCCTGACCACAAATGTTGAAGTAATTAATAATTTGATACCTCTCCATGGCTTAATTAATTTAAACCTAGTAATCTGGACATTCAGTTACAAGGAAGAGTAATAGATGCTTCTTGGTCTACAAACTGTCCATATTAGCATTAATGAGAACCTAAGAAGTTTCAAATTATTAAATAAACCAGTCTGGTAGATTATTAAATATTTGAGTGTGAGAGTATACTAGTTGATGCAGTTAAAGTTAAATAGTTAATTCAGCAACTTGTAATACTCATGATTGAAATAAGTGGCAATAATCAATACAGTATTATATTAGAAATATTATTAATTACGTAAATGCCATTTGCTGTTTTTATTACATTTGATTGTATTCAGCTTATAGTTTAAATGGCTTTCTAATTAATTTTAGTCTGACTCAGTTTGAAGTAGTAAAACCTTCCTATCTAATCAATAGCACATGTTGTAGAGAAACATACAAGAGCCTCATTTCCCCTAAATCAATCAGCCATGAAATAATTAACTGGATTTTTGTTTTTCCTGCAGTTTTTTTAAGAAATACAATACAATTGAATTTGTCCAGTTTTTTTAAAAAGAAAAAACATGGAAGCAAATTACCTAAATGTTTTATCTGACTATATTCTCTTTTAATTGTTAAAATGTCCTGAAGCACTTGATCACATTGCCTTTTAATTTTAAAGCCATGTGTTGTATTAGTGAATTGCAGATGTTACTGATTTGAGCTGAAAGTTCTTGGTATGTTTACCAGAACACCAGATTGGCACTAACAAGGTCTCCTCCAGGTCAAAGACCTAGAATCGACATCTTTCTTACAGCTAACTCTTGTGAAAACTAGAAGTCCAGGTCAGGGCAGTCAGCTGATCGCATTACCTCTTACAGCCACTGATTAGATTAGCTCTACATTTATCAGCTACATAGAGACTAACACTTAACCTTTTAAGTCAATAGTTTTGATATATCATTATTTTTATGGCGACTATTGTCCTGA